ACTCAAACAATCCTCCCATCTCAGCCTCCCAAAGAGCTGAGATTATGGGCATACAACACCATGCCTTTTTTTTTTTTAATTATTAAAAAAAACGTTTTAAAAGTTTTTTGTAGAGACAAGGTATCATTTCATTGTCCATGCTGGTCTCTAACTACTGGGCTCAAGCAATCTTCCCACCTCAGCCTCTTAAAGTACTGCAAACACATGTGTGAGCCTGGCTGGTCATTAAATATGAAAGCATAAGATGTCCCTAAAAACTCAGAGTTCCTCAAGAGTGAAATGCTAGAAGGCAGTAGAAAGATATGGAGGATGTAGCTTTAAAAGTAGTCATAGTTTGTTTAAAAAAGTTTTTTTTTTTTTTTTTTTGGTGCCATCATGGCTCACTGCAGTCTCACCCTCCTGGGCTCAGGGCTCAAGTGATCCTCCCACCTCAGCCACCAAGTAATTGGGTCTATAGGCACATACCACCACACTGGCTTACTTTTCAAAATTATTTGTAGAGACGGGGTCTTCCTATGTTGTCCAGGCTGGCTTTGAACTCTGGGCCTCAAGCGACTGTCCAGCCTTGGCCTCCCAAAGCGCCAGGATTACACGCATGAACCACCTTGCCCAGCCTCTATTTTTAAAAATTATTATTTGTGTCCTTACTAAATTACACATTCTCTGGGGCTCAAGTTTATAAAGAGCTACAAACAACTCAGGAATTAGTAGGACAGAGTAATAGTCTTAATGCTGAACAGCCTTAATAGAACAAAGGTACAATCCTCTCTCTGCCTTATTCCCTTAATAAGCAAATGGACACCATGCTGGAAGAACCCCTTCCCTAAATTTTATTTGGCATTTTTTAGTAATTTTAAAGTATTCCTTTAGGGGTTCTATTCTACACCAACAGCCAAAGTGTTATAGATTCTGTTGTAAATCAGGTAATCTGTCACGGGGTCAATGAAGAAGACATGATTTTGACCCTTATAAAGAATGCACTCATGTCTGGGTGCAGTGGCTCACACCTGTAATCCCAACAGTCTGGCAGGCTGAGGTGGGCAGACTGCTTGAGTCCAGGAGCTCAACACCAGTTTGGACAACATAGGGATATCCTGTCTCTAAGAAAAAATTTTTAATTTGCCAGGTGTGATGGCGTACACCTGTAGTCCCAGCTGCTTGGGAGGCTAAGCCATGAGGATCGCTTGAACCCAGGAGGCAGAGGTTGCAGTGATCTGAGATTGCACCAGCACACTCAAGCCTGGGCGACAGAGCAAGACCCTGTTTCAGATGGGGGAAAAAAAAAAAAAAAAAAAAGGCACTCACTGGGTACTCTGTCAGAAGTAAAGCAGTGTCTTATCTAAAGACTGAGGATTGGAAAGCTGGTATAATAGGAATACAGGAAATAGAACCGAGAATTGTAATGGGGCATAAATAATCGCCCAAATGCCCATAGGATCCCTGGAGAACATAAGATTTGGATCATATTAAAATGGAGTTACTCTATCAAATGCAATGCATGGTCTTTGATTAGATCCTGGTTTGAACAAATCATCCATAAACTATTTTGGGGACAAGTGGCAAATTAGAATATGGACTAGATTTTAGATATTAAGAATTATAGTAGCCACTGTGCTCCATCCTGGGTGATGGAGTGAGATCCCACCCTGTCTCAAAAAAAAATAAAAAAGAATTATAGTTAAGTTTGAGATGCAATAGGCCGGGCGTGGTGGCTCACGCCTGTAATACCAGCACTTTGGGAGGCCAAGGCGGGAGGATCACAAGGTCAGGAGATCAAGACCATCCTGGCTGACAGTGAAACCTCTACTAAAAATACAAAAAAAATTAGCTGGGCGTGATAGTGGGCGCCTGTAGTCCCAGCTACTTGGGAGGCTGAGGCAGGAGAATGGCATGAACCCGGGAGGTGGAGCTTGCAGTGAGCCCAGATTGCGCCACTGCACTCCAGCCTGGGTGACAGAGCAAGACCGCATCTCAAAAATTAAAATTAAAATTAAAAAAACCCCCAACACTTTACAAGATCTAATCCCTGTCTATCTATTTAGCCTTTCTTCATTCCTTTTATTTGCTATGCTTCAGGCACACGGACTTTCTTTTAATTCCTTAGGAGTCAAGCTCTTTCCTTCCTCAGGGCCTTTGCATACATGCTCTATCTGCTTAGTTACTCTTTTTTGGCCAACTTATTAAACTAGAAGATTCACTTTTTAGGTATCATTTTATTTTTATTTAATGAGTTAATTTATTGAGACAGAGTTTTGCTCTTGTCACCTAGGCTGGAGTGCAACAGCATGTTCTCAGTTCACCGCAACCTCTGCCTCCCAGGTTCAAGCGATTTTCCTGCCTCATCCTCCCAGGTAGCTGGGATTACAGGCGCCCACTACCATGCTCAGCTAATTTTTGTATTTTTAGTAGAGATGGGGTTTCACCATGTTGGCTAGGCTGGTCTCGAACTCCTGACCTCAGGTGATCTACCCGCCTCAGTCTCCTAAACTGCTGGGATTATGAGCCACCACGCCCAGCCTCAGGCATCATTTTAAATGTGACCTTCTCAAATATATCTTTCCTGACACTCCCTAAGTTATAAGTCCTAGTAAAAGCAACTAAGTTATAAATCCTGATAAAAACACTCATAGCTTGTGATATGTATCCTTAACAAAATGTATCTCAGTAGAAATAAATTAACAATTATTTGTGTAATTATTTAATATCTGCCCCTTGTCAAACTAGGAGGTCCTTAATAGGCAGACACCATAGCCGCCTTGCTCGTGGCTGTATTCCGACTACTAGTGAGCACCCAGACATGATACATGCTCAATAAATATTTGTTAAATAAATGAATAAATTCTAGACTTGAAAGGTCAGGTTAAGTAAGAAATAAAATGATTTAGCAGTATTCACCATGTAGCAATAAATCTGATCCTTATATCCTTTGGCCTCAGATTTCTGAGGAGTATGGATGATTCTGGGCCCACATCTGACATACATCTAGCTAAAATGTTGAAGTTATACAAATGAGCTGTTGCTATAACCAAGATAGGGAGAGCCAGGGCTTTAAGGGTATTCTTACACAGGCAAACAAATCATTATTTTATACTACTCTGTGTAATTCACTGACTAAAGTGTTGAAGAAAATATGAAGATGGAATTCACGACTTTAATAAGATACTTTCGTTTAGAAAAAAAAAATGACACATTTACATGGAAAGAAAACTGGTAACTAGGTATTAACCAATAAGGGCTAAAAAAAGATGATGTAGCCAATAACAGCTAGATGATGGTTAGACAATTGTACTCTGCCTTAGCTGCACATTAAAATCACCTGAAAAGCACTCAAAATTAATGATGCGCAGATCCCACCTCCAGAGACTCTCATTTAATGGAGTTGGTGGTAGGTTCTGAGGACTGGCATTTTAAAAAAAGCTTCCCATACAGTTTTAGCATACAATTTGGGTTGAGAACCAGTGGTTTGAGGAAAGTAGAAGTAGCTTTACTAAAGAGTTAGTATTTGAAATGTTTCTTAAAGGATGGGTAAAATTTGGACAGGCAAAAAGGAATGAGAAGAGCTTTCCAAACAGGGCTTAAGGAGTGAGATATGGCAGGAAAGTGCAGAAATTAGAAGGTATAATGTATGTATGGGATGGAGGGTTATCAGTGAATAGACACCATTTTGGCTGAAGTAAAGTATTGGTGAATAGAACATATCTTGTATTTTTATCCCCATGCATGAAGTGCTACTGAACATTTTCCATATATTATTGACGGCATCAGTACGGTATTCTACTGTACTATTGAAGGAATCTATACCTTCAATAGGTATAAGGTGACAAACTTCTGAACTAAGTGAAAGCGCTAACAACAAAAAGAATGGCTATAAGAGATAAAAAGAGGAAACCAGTAAATGACAGAGCCATAAATGGCACTATAGGAAGAATTTAAAGCTACACATTATTAAAGAATTTAACGTTTGGTCACACCAAATTCATTAAACTTCAATAATAGCAAACCATCGTAAAGGCAAATCATCTAAATAAATAAAAAAGTTTATTCTAAATTCCTTTAGCACTGAAATATAAACTTCCATCATTAGATGTCATCCTAGTTCTGGCTCACGCCTGTAATCTCAGCACTTTGGGAGGCCGAGGCGAGTTATCACCTGAGGTCGGGAGTTCGAGATCAGCCTGACCAAAATGGAGAAACCCCGTCTCTACTAAAAACACAAAATTAGCCAGACATGGTGGCGCATACCTGTAATCACAGCTACTCAGGAGGCTAAGGCAGGAGAATTGCTTGAACCCAAGGTGGAGGTTGTAGTGAGCCAAAATCACGCCATTGTACTCCAGCCTAGGCAATAAGAGTGAAACTCCATCTCAAAAAAGAAAAAAAAGAAAAAAAAAAGCCTGGGCATGGTGGCTTACGCCTGTAATCCCAGCACTTTGGGAGGCCAAGGTGGGCGGGTCACCTGAAGTCGGGAGTTCGAGACTAGCCTGACCAACATGGAGAAACCCTGTCTCTACTAAAAATACACAAAAATTAGCGGGGTGTGGTGGTGCATATGCCTGTGATCCCAGCTACTAAGGAAGCTGAGGTAGGAGAATTGCTTGAATCCGAGAGGCAAAGGTTGCGGTGGGCCGAGGTCGTGCCATCACACTCCAGCCTGGGTGACAAGAGCAAAATTCCATCTCAAAAAAAAAAAAAAGTCATCCTAGTTCTATCTCTAGGGTTTATCTTTTTTTGATTCTTAGAAAGAAAATAATAAAATACTTATTGCAAAGATCTGTGAAAAAGAAGTGGAGAATTAAAAAACAAAAAGTGATTTGAGGTAACACTTCAATTGTTAATCCATCCCATCCTTATAAAGTACTGTATTTAATAATTACCTTCATAATTTGATGGTTACAAAATATTATGCTAAAATCTTTTATTTATAAGCAGATCAAAAGACATCTCTAAATCAAGTTCTTTTGATTTAGAATCACAATTAAATAGCTATTTCTATATCATACCTTGTATTTGGTCATGGTGCTAAAATGATTATTCCGAAAGAACACACAAAGTTCTCCTTCCTGAACCGTTGAAGTTAGTTCACATAATCCATGGTATGTCAGTTGAGTGGCTGTGTTATTTAGAAACTGCTCAGCTACAAAGCCTATAGAACCAATGCATAATATTAGATAGAATAATTTCAAAATTAAAAAGTTATTCTTTTTCTATTTAAAGTGTGTTCCAAGCATGGAAAAAGGCCAATCATTATAATACTTTCCCTACTACTTTATGATGACTCCAAACTGGACATCTGTGATTTTAATTTTGCTATGAAATATGTGTATACAGAAATTCCTAACCTAAAGAAATAGTTACGTGAAATTCTTTTTTATAAACAAATGAATTTACTTATACCTCACCTACTATTACAAAGGATTTCATGCAGGTTGCAGTAAAAAAGCAGACACAATAAAACTAAAACTCATCAAAGCAAATAAAAAGACAGGTGTCAGGCAATTTTAAAAATGGGTAGGAAAGAAAAATGTCAGTCAACAGCTACCTTCCCAGTAGCAAGGTGTTTTCACATTAAAAGATTTTACAAAAATCCTAGATAATTCTTAAACTTCTCAATTCTCAATTGTAAACTTCTCAATTCTTGCTTTAAAACTACAAGTAGGCATAAGGCTGAAGAGAAAGCTGTGGGATAAATGTTGCCATTTGTAATGGTTTTTTATGCCATTTTTATTCTAATCTCCTCCAACATATGCCACTCATGTAGCTGTATCAAGTTTGGAAACAGATCTTATGGCTTTTGTTTTTGAAATACAATAAAATATGCAGAAGTGATCTGGGGTATAGTTTAAAACATATATATATACACACATACACACACACGCACACAGCTGATCTTCACAAACACAATTGATCCTCATTGCAAGTTCATATCTGCAAGTTCATCTGCTGGTTAAAATTTATTTAGAACCCTCAAATCAACACTTGCAGCATTTTTATGCTTGTTTGTGGACATGTGAAGACTGGTGAAAATTCTCAGTGGCCCAATGTGCACATTCCCAGCTGAGGTCAAACAAGGCAACATTCTGCCTTCTTGCTTCAGCTCTCTCACATACTGTAAACAAGTGTCCCTTTCATGGTCTATTTAGTGCCAAGTTTTTCACATTTTTATGCCTTCTGTTGGTGATTTTGCTGTTTCAAACAGCATCCAAGCATAATGCCAAAGTGCTGGCTAGTATTCAGTAGACAAAGGCTGTGATGTGCCTTACAGAAAAAATACATGTGCTAGGTAAGTTTCGTTCAGGCATGAGTTATACAGGTTGAGAGTCTGAGTATCACTTATCTGAAATGCATGAGACTAGAAGTGTTTTGGGTTTGGATTCTTTTGGATTTTGCAACATTTGCGTTATACTTACCAGCTGAGCATCCCTAATCTGAAAATGAGAAATCTCAAATGTTCCAATGAGCATTTCCTCTGAGCGTGATGTTGGTGTTTAGATTTTGGAGCATTTTGGATTTTGGATTTTCAGATTAGGCATATTCTATCTGTAGTGCTGTTGGCTGTGAGTTTAACGCTAGTGAATCAACAATATATATTAAATAAGGTGTGTTTAACAGAAACACACATAAAACAAGTTTATGTATTGATCAGTTGATAAAAATGTTGTTACCAAAGGCTCCTTGGAAACTAACTCATATTTATCCTAGGGACCGTGGTTCAGCATTCACTAATTCAGTGTTCACAGCAACTTTATAGAACATAGCTACCATAAATAATGAGAATCAACTGTATACATTTTTTTTAAACTTGTATTTCTCTTCTTCTTTGCCTCCTTCCTTCTGGAGTAAGGAGAGATGTCTCAGAAGCAATGGGAGAGGAGGGAAGGGAATGCCCTAAAAAGTTTCATAAGTGACCTGAGAGATACAGATATAAGGACTAAAGATAAATCTGTGGTATGAAACTAACACTTCAACAATAAATTTAAAATAAAACTTGGTAGGGCCAGAAGCAGATAACATAGGTTGGGTTTATTCCACTCCCTAGACATCCCTTAGTGTCAAACCATAGTACTTCAAGCTACAAAGTTGTTGTAAAAAGTTACCACACTATAGTTATCACACCACTGCAAGGACTTTGTTATGACAGAAGTACAAAAATTATAAAGAGGTCTATAGTCAAAAGAAATTCATTGAATACTTGCAACTTTTTCGGTTTATACATTTAGATATAAGAGGTTTCTCCACCTGATTACTGTTGTTACTTTGCCAAGTACTAAGTTACCATATACTAATGAATAGCATTTATGATGTACACTAGTAAATAGCATTTACTATTATGTAGCATTTAAAGAGTAGGCATTATGCCTGTGCTGAAAAGTACCACTGCTGTCTGTAATATCTGTATTACTAAATGTTCCCTTCAGAAATGTTTTTAAATGCCCCTTCCATACCTTACTCACACAATATCCTCTCTACAGATCCCTCTCAAAAAGATACAGAAATTCAGTAGATATATAGCACATTACTTTCATGTTAGTGTGAAATTCAAAACTTCAACATTAGAAAGGTCTTTCTCTGCTACTTCTTTTTACAGAATAGGACATAGGCTCAAAAAGAATAAGTGACTTGCCCAAGGACATAAAACTAGTTATGGCAAAGTGAAGACTGTAACCTAGGAGAATTATTATGGGTATTAAAGTTTTAAAATTTATTGCAGATGAGTATTATAAATGCCACCTGAATTATATCTCTCCCAAAACCATAAAGCGTAACTTATTAAGAACTAGAAAAAACAATGTTTCATAATTCTCCTGTCATCTCTTAAACAGTGGTTTTAGTGGAAAAGGCTAATCTAGTTTTAACTTTTTACAACTATTTAAACAAATTTTGGAAAACAACTCTAAGTGTCACACAGCGGTTTATTTATCTGTAGACTTATCAGAGCATCATTATTAACGCTCAAAGAGGTGTTACTGATCCAAATAATCCATGGTTTATTTATAACATTTACATTAAATCTCAATTTTATTGTTAGATATTGTTATTGATGATACTAAAGGTAAAAAAAATTCATATAATGATAATAGAGTATTATTCATGAGAATAAATGTAAGCCTTATTTTCCTGAGAAGATTACTATATTTGAAAATATTTCTTATATTCAGAAATTCAAGGCTGGGTGTGGTGGCTCACGCCTGTAATTCCAGAACTTTGGGAGGCTGAGATGGGCGGATCATGAAGTCAGGAAATCAAGACCATCCTGGCTTACACAGGGAAACCCCTTCTCTACTAAAAATACAAAAAAATTAGCTGGGCGAGGTGGCGGGCGCCTGTAGTCCCAGCTACTCGGGATGCTGAGGCAGAAGAATGGCATGAACCTGGGAGGTGGAGTTTGCAGTGAGCCGAGACTGTACCACTGCACTCCAGTCTGGGCGACAGAGACTCTGTCTCAAAAAAAAAAAAAGAAAAAGAAAAAAGAAATTCAATAATAAATTAGTTCATTAAATTGTTTTCCTCTATTACTGGACAGTTATTAGAGAACATGAAAGTAATGAATGCCTTAGAGATGGTGAAGTTAGAAAGACAGGTACTATCATTAGGTAAAAAGGAATAGAATGTAGAAATAGGAAGGAAGGAAATTTGATTTATTTAAAAATGTTGCCTAGATGTGGTCCTGTCTGAGATTTGGATTCAAATTTAAGCTTAGTCAGAACTTAACTTGTCACTGTGACAGCTTTAAACAATCTAATTTTAAAGAATTTAATCTATATTTAAGTTTCAAAGATCAAATACATTATATTAATGTATTTTTTTCTCAAAAGGATGGGCAAAACAATTTATTTTAATGACAAATGCCTAGATTTTACTTGAAAAGATAAAAGCTTATACAATTTTTTTTTGTTTTTTTTGAGACAGAATCTCACTCTGTTCCCAGGCTGGAGTACAGTGACGCTATCTCGGCTCACTGCACACCTGGCTAATTTTTTGTATTTTTAGTAGAGACAGGGTCTCACCACGTTGGCCAGACTGGTCTCGAACTCCTGACCTCAGGTGATCTACCTACCTTGGCCTCCCAAAGTGCTGGGATTACAGACGTGAGCCACCGCGCCCAGTCCACTCATATGATTTGATTCCAGGAGTGCAGTAGGGAGCCCAGAACATTTTACTGTGCCAAAAATAAGTGCTCAAGGAAAGATGAGGAGATACAAAAGAACACAAGACCCAACTTGAGGGCATCCCACTGGCCATATCATATTTAGAACAATTAAAGCATCAAAAAAAATAATGATAATGGATTATAATACACTGAGTAAAAAGGAATCCATGAGTTTATACTGATATAATTTTTTTTAATGGGGAAGGAGGAGAAGGAAGATAAGTGAAAACTGTTCTGTTATAGAAGAATAACAACTAATAAATAGAAGGAATAACAGAAATTATAACCACCACAGTAATAATTGATTCAGGCAAGAATCAATGGATGCCAGATCTACTGGGTGAAAGATTATTAAGGAATAGCATATTCACACAGTTCAAAGAATAACATCACAGGTGACTTATTAACTACCAAGGGAAAAGGGCATCTTTACAGTATTAAAACCTGGCAGATATTATCTTATATTTGAACATCACCAATAACGAGATAACCAGGCTCATGTGCCCCCGATTTGATGCACCGGGAAAGACATAATGTCACCTATGTAGCATCCCTGCCAAAAATATATAACCTGAATCTACTAATGAGGAAATAATCAGATGAATCCAAATTGAGGAATATTCAATGGAACACCTGGCCTGGACTATTCTAAAAAGTCAATGTCATAAAAGACAAAAAAGGAAGGAAAGGAGGGAGGAAGCAAGGAAGGAAAGGAGGGAGGAAGCAAGGGAGGAAAGGAGAAAGGAAGGAAGGAAGGAAGCAAGAGAGGAAAGAAGGAAGAAGGTTATAGAACTATTTTACATTACAGAAGACTAAAGAGATGTGACAACTAAATGATTCTTAACTGGAGCCTACATTGAAAAAAATTAAAAGCTGTAAGGGGCATTACTGGGAAAATGGGATAATTCTGAATATGAACAATATATTAAATAATATTGTATCAATGCTAAATTGCTTGAGATAATTGTATCGTGATTATATAGGAGAATTTATATAAGATAATTCCTTGTTCTTAGGAGACAAATGATGAAGCATTTACGGGCAAAGTACTATATTTGCAATTAATTCTCACAAGATTTAGGGAAAAAAGAGTGTGTGGGGCTAGGTGCAGTGGCTCATGCCTGTAATCCGAGCACTTTGGAAGGCCAAGGCGGGCAGATCACCTGAGGTTGGGAGTTTGAGACCAGCCTAACCAACATGGAGAAACCCCATCTCTACTAAAAATACAAAATTAGCTAGGTGTGGTGGTGCATGCCTGTAATCTCAGCTACTCGGGAGGCTGAGGAAGAAGAATCGCTTGAACCTGGGAGGCAGAGGTTGTGGTGAGCCAAGGTTGCATCATTGCACTCCAGCCTGGGCAATAAGAGCAAAACTCCATCTCAAAAAAAAAAAAAAAAAGATTATGTGTTGGGTGTGTAGGAATACAGAAAAAAAGAAAACATTCAATATATTAACAATTGGTAAATTTAGGTAGAGCATACAAATGTTCATTGTGCCATTATAATATTTTTTATGGGTTTGAGATTTTTCAAAATAAAAGTTGAAGAAAGAAAAAGAAAAGGAAACCAATATTATCTAATAAAAATAATAAGCCGAACTATAATGTTCAGTATTTATGGCACATAATAAAGGCTCAATAAATATTTTAATAAATGAATACATATCCTAGAAATATTTTTATAAGCGTATTTTTGTCCTAGGAACAATTGTTAAAGAAACATTCCTAGGCCGGGTCTGGCAGCTCACACTTGTAATCCCAGCACTTTGGAAGGCAGAGGTGGGCGGATCAGCTGTCAGGAGTTCGAGACCAGTTTGGACAACATGGTGAAACCCTGTCTCACCTAAAAATACAAAAAATTAGCCAGCGTGGTGGCGTGAGCCTGTAGTCCCAGCTACTTGGGAGGCTAAGGCAGAAGAACTGCTTGAACCTGGGAGGCAGAGGTTGCAGTGAGCCGAGACTGCACCACTGTACTCCAGCCTCCAGCCTGGGCAACTGAGCAAGACTCTGTCTCAAAACAAATAAACAAAAACCACGCACACAACAAAAAAGAACCATTCCTGAGAGCATCTGGAATTAAATGAATAGCTCTGGTGAAGTCTGGCTGCTGGTACTGTGCTTTTTTAAAACTTGCTGATTTTTGCTGCCATGAAAAATCAGCATCATCACAACCAGATTCAAAAAGGTATTGTTTCTATTCATCATTGTACTGGAAAAGAAGTAGAAAATAAAAAAGGTATCGACACCCAAAAGCAGTGTATTCTACAAATAAGTATTCTACGGAAAGTAAAAGTTCTATACCTTTACTTACAAGGTATTTGCATCAAGGAAAGTGAATGTTATCTAAAACAAGTTGAAAGAACACCTAACTCTATTTGATTATTTGCTAAATTACATTTCTTTTTCCTTAAAAAGGAATTTGAGTGAATATATTTCTTATTCTCCATACCTTGATAGGAAATAAAATGTTTGAATTTTTAAAAAGTTATCTGTGACCAAAACTTATTTTTTAATAAAGATTAGAAATAAGTCAGCTTTGAAGTATTTTACTGATTTAAAGGGAAAGCTACAATTGCAGGCTAAACAGAAAAAGAAAGCAGATTACTTCAACTGAACACCACTCAAGATAATATGATATATTGGGCTGGCTGAGGTGGCTTATGCCTGTAATCTCAGCACTTTGGGAGGTCGAGGCTGGCAGATCACCTGAGGTCAGGAGTTCGAGACCAGCCTGGCCAACATGGTGAAACCCCATCTCTACTAAAAATACAAAAATTAGTCGGGCATGGTGGCACATGCTTGTAGTCCCAACTACTCGGGAGGCTGAGGCAGGAGAATTGCTTGAATCCAGGAGGCAGAGGTTGCAGTGAGCCGAGATCACGCCACTGCACTGCAGCCTGGGTGACAGAGCAAGACTGTCTCAAAAAAAAAAAAAAAAAAAGATAATATGATGAAGAAAAATGATGAAGGAAACCTAATTGCTAAAAAGTAAGTAAAAATATCTATTATGGTCTATTATGGCCTTTTATTTTCCATGATTTCTTAGTGTCTTATACAAGTAACCATTAGTGTTAAGTAATTATTTCAAATGAACTACATATTTGTAGTTACTCATGAACAAATATCTAGTTTAGCTTTTTAATTATGCTGAATGACACATATAATTATTCTTTAATATGGAAATCTGGCATGTAGAATTTCACCACTATGAAATCTATATATCAAGGAAGTAATCAATAAATATACCCAGTAGATATTCCCTAAAAATTCTATACCATTTTAGAGGGTTTCTTTCTTTGCTTTTACCATGATGTTCTTCCTAAATTATCAATAACACATATATTAACTAGTTTTTCATTATCCTGAGGAATCAATGTGAGAAAAATAATAATATTTGTGACATCAGGTTAAGGAAAAAGAAGTAATGAAGGGACTGACTTCTTTGTTCATTTTATTAATTATTGTAGTACTAAGTCCCACCCTTACTGTATTTGTAGCCATAATTGGGAAAGATGTTAAAAGTGTTTCACACAACTTCATACTCCATAAGTCAGTTTATCCAAGTATTACTTCTTGGCTAGCATTCTGTCTAGTGTATTAAAAATACACTTTCTGAATCCTATTGTTCCTTCAAGTACTACTGAATAGCATACTCCAGTATACTGGACATTACTGAAGAAGAAGGATTCCATAGATAGACATTTTTAAAATAGGAGCTTCTTTTTAGTAATATATCCATGGTAATGAGAGCTTGTATAGGAATGCAAACTTCTAGTGAGTGGAGCTTTTCCCCCCTATAGTCTACTTCATTGAGAAGGAATTTTGTTAATTGAGATAAAACACTTTTCTAACAGTTTTTGTTGCTTCTTTCCCTCCTAAAATTTGAACACTGCTGCCTCATGCTGTAATGAAAGAGTTGTCAGAGAAATCAACGATCAACGACTGTATAATGTTTTTTGCCTTTTGTTGTTTTTTAAGACAGATTCTATTCTGTTGCCCAGGCTAGAGTGTAGTGGCATGATCTTGGCTCACTGCAGCCTTGACCTCCTGGGTTCAAGTGATCTTTCAGCCTCAGCCTACCAAGTATGTGGAGCTACAGGTGCCTGGCTAATTTTTTATTTTTATTTTTTAGAAATGGGATCTTGCTACATTGCCCAGGCTAGTCTCAAACTCCTGGGCTCAAGCAGTCCTCCTGCCTCAGCCTCCCAAAGTGCTGGGATTACAGGTGTGGGCCACAATGTCCAGCCTGTCCCTGTATCTTTAAATGTTTATTGCAAGTAGAAGACTAGCATAAACCTCCCAGCCTGATCAAGACAAAATCCCATCTCTACGAAAAATACAAAATTAGTGCATGCCTGTAATCCCAGCTACTCAGGAGGCTGAGGCAGGAGAATGGCTTGACCCTGGGAGGTAGAGGTTGCAGTGAGCTGAGATCGCACCATTGCACTCCAGCCTGGGTAACAAGAGCAAAACTCCATCTCCAAAAAAAAAAAAAAAAAAAAAAAAAAGATTAGGATAAACCTTAACTAAAATACTATGCATTTTCTTATTATTTTCCTCTTTTGCAAAAATGTGTTAAACTTCTGGATAATTAAGTAATATAATTAGTTGGGTTCTGATTAATATAGATGGAATTCATGCACATATCTTTTATATGCTCATATGTTCTTATAGTCGTCAGTTTTAATTCTTAAAAATGTGATTATTGTAATAAACTTTTATTATATCTTATGTAAAATAATTGTGTGTCTGAGACAGACTAAAACTCATGTTCTACTTCTCATGATTTCTCTTTCTTTTTTGTTTACCTTTCATAGAAAGAAGAATTACAGCCCCAGTACCTGTGTGTATTTTTGAAAGAGTAAAATGGGGACTAAGAAGGTATATTAACATGCTATGCCTTTTGATAGCATTCTGTTTCAAATCTCCACTTCTCATCATTGACTGGAACACAGTTGAAAAAATATTAAACTGATTTTGTGATGATGAATTTAGGAATTCCAGTTAGCTAAGGATTAGAAAAACTGAGTTTCAGAGGCATATTCTGATCCAGAATGGGGCTTTAATATATTGTATTATACTGAAACGTAAGGCAGTAGTAAATAAAGTACTAAAATAGAATACTTGAGCACCATAATACTCATCTCAGTCAATTGAAGTATTCAGGATCAATGATAAAGTCCATTCAGTACGCCTAAATAATAAACCTTTTTTAAAAAAGTAATTATCAGTAATCTCTGGGTACATGACCATACCAAAGTTAGCAAGTGATTCCAAAGATTTTTAATAGAATCGAGGCCCGATTTTACAAGTTAAATGAAAAAGAATTCTAGGAAAAACCTTTCACTGGCACCTTTATGAAGGATTACTTCTTTTTTTTTTTTTTTTGATACAGTCACTCTGTTGCTCAGGGTGGAGTACAGTGGCGCGATCTTGGCTCACTGCAACCTCCGCCTCCTAGGTTCAAATGATTCTCCCGCCTCAGCCTTCTGAGTAGCTGGGATTACAGGCATGCGCCACCATGGCTGGCTAATTTTTTGTTGTATTTTTAGTAGACATGTGGTTTCACCATGTTGGCCAGGCTGATCGTGAATTCCTGTCCTCAGGTGATCCACCTGCCTCAGCCTCTCGAAGTGCTGGGATTCCAGGCAAGAGCCACCATGCCCAGCCTATGAATGGTTACTTCTTAAAATTCATACAAGTAATATGACATGTGTTTTTTAGAAGTCTTATTTAATAAATTTGAAAGATACTAAATTATTAGAAAAATTATCTTGCCAAGAATTTCAAAAGTCAGGAAATAGCAGCACTCACCCACCTTCACTAACCAGCTCACTATTGTCTGACTGTTTACAAGAGATGATCTTCTCCACTAGTTGGTTGTAGCTGCAGTTACCAACAGCTTTTACGATGTCATCAATCTAGAAAACAAATGACTGTCTCACTAATCATGGTAAGATTAGAAACAAAACAAAAGAAAGCCATATCACTCTTTATAATTTTATTCTAATACTAAATATAAAACTATTATTTACGAAAAGCAAAATCAGCACTAAAATCAACACCCAACAGTTTCCAAGTTTCTTTACAGCTCAGTATGACACATTATGAAAAATACTGCAGTTGTATTATTTTAATTATGCAAAAAAAGATTAAATAGGATTATTACATGCAACTTTATTTCTTAAGGTCATAAACATGTATTTAAGTGATCAAAATAAAACATAAACTATTTCAGGAGAAAAAATAAGAAAATATCCATTTTTTTTCACCCAGCATAAACTACCAAGCAACAGTTTTTTTTTTTTTAAACTAAAAAACAAATGTTGCACATTTAAAGCAAGGCAACTTTAAATATGTTAATTTATAGGATTAATAAAATTATTCCATTTTATTACTTATTTCCTAGAGAAGTATAGTGGAGATGTGAGTAGAGATAACTAACGTTATTTTCCTGAAGAAAAGTTAATATATGTTAATCAGGAATGGTATCTGCTTCATGATTCTTATTTAATCTTTGTTTTTAGAGGTACAGCAGAAGAGTAAATTTAAACTTTTAAGGTATAGGAAAATAAAACTGGGCTTCTCTACTCTCTCTCCATTACACTTTGCTTTGACTATAGAAGAAAAAGAGGCCGGGCGTGGTGGCTCAAGCCTGTAATCCCGGCACTTTGGGAGGCCAAGATGGGCGGATCATGAGGTCAGGAGATCAAGATCATCCTGGCTAACCCGGTGAAACCCCGTCTCTACTAAAAAAAAAAAATACAAAAAACCAGCCGGGCCAGGTGGTGGGCGCCTGTAGTCCCAACTACTCGGGAGGCTGAGGCAGGAGAATGGCGTAAACCCGGGAGGCGGAGCTTGCAGTGAGCTGAGATCCGGCCACTGCACTCTAGCCTGGGCGACAGAGCGAGACTCTGTCTCAAAAAAAAAAAAAAAAAAAAAAAAGAGGTTTCTACTGTCTGAACAACTTATTTAGTTGCCTTTCCATACATAAAAATATATTTATATTTATAAATTATTTACGTGTATTGCTGTATTAATAAGTTATATACCTAATAAACACAAATTTTAGAATTATATAAATAAAAATAAGAGGGCCAATGTTTTCTTACTACATTCAAATGATCACCTTGAAGACTTACTCTTTGAATACCACAGGTCTCAACATATATCTGCGCAATACTCAGCGGGGTTTTCAAACTTGGGGAGCTTATTAAAAAGATGTAAAAGAATTTCAGGCTCAAGTTGCTTCTCAGTTGTCTAAGTTTTCATTCCACTGTGCAAGTGATTCCGATGCATAGCAAGTTTGAGAACCACCACTCTAGGCTATAATTTATTTTCCTTGTTTATGAAAAAGTCTACAATACTAAAAGACTCTTAACACATACAACTGGAACTGATGATTGGTTGAGACGATAATCAGTTAATTCAAAACGTCAAAGCAGGAAATTGTGGAAAATGTCTACAGGCATAGATATCTTAAACATTTTTTTTGGTGGGGGGGATGGAGTCTCACTCTCTTGTCCAGGCTGGAGTGCAGTGGTGTGATCTTGGCTCATTGCAACCTCCACCTCCCAAGTTCAAGTGATTCTCCTGCCTCAGCCTCCCGAGTAGCAGGGATTACAGGCACCCGCCACCACACCTGACTAATTTTTTTGTTTGTTTGTTTTTAGATGGAGTCTCGCTCTGTCGCCAGGGTGGAGTGTGGCGGTGCAATCTTGGCTCACTGCAACCTCTGCCTCCCAGGTTCAAGCAATTCTCCTGCCTCAGACTCCCTAGTAGCTGGGACTACAGGCGCCTGACACCACACCCAGCTAATTTTTGTATTTTTTAGTAGAGTCGGGGTTTCACAATGTTGGCCAGGATGGTCTTGAACTCCTGACCTCAAGTACTCTGCCTGTCTCAGTCTCCCAAAGTGCTGGGATTACAGGTGTGAGCCACTGTGCCTGGTCCATATCTTAAACATTTCACATTAACTTAAAACACAAAAATGTATTCAACGGTCAATCTTTTGATGCACAGCCGAACAAATCCTTTTCTTTGCGAGAGGATCCTTGGGATAAGATTCTATGTAGATTGCACAAAAAACATCTATGAGTTCCAGCTTTGATTTATGTAAAATGAGAAGTTAGACCCTTAAGAAATAATTTGAGGGCACGATCTCTTCAGATGTTATTTTCTTCAACAACCTTTACTTTATAGTGCTTTTCATTAGTGACTCAACTTCAGTAAGTCTTTTCAAAGAATCTGAATTTTCAATTCTAAGAAATCCACAAAAATACAGCCACAATAAGTTGGCTGTGGTGGCTCATACCAGTAATGCAAATAATTTAGCAAGCTGAGGCAGGAGGATATCTTAAGGCCAGCAGTTCAAGACCCGTCTGGGCAACACAGCAAAACTCCTGTCTCTAAAAATAAAATAAAATATTTTTTTGAGATTTTTTTCTTACTCTGTCTCCCACGCTGTGTCACCCACACTGGAGTGCAGTGGTGTGATCTGAGTCTCACTGTGTCACTCTTGCTGGAATGCAGTGGTGTGATCACAGCCCACTGCAGCCTCAACCTCCCAGGCTCAAGCAATCCTTCCACCTCAGCCTCCTGCATAGCTGGGACTACAGGCACATGCCACCACACTCAGTTAATTTTGAAATTTTTGGTAGAGACAGTCTCATTATGTTGTCCGGGTGGGCCTCAAACTCCTGGGCTCAAGCAATTCTCCCACCTTGGTCTTTCAAAATGTTGGGATTACAGGCGTTAGCCACCATGCAAGGCCTCTAACAAAAAAAATTTTTTTTAATTAGCTGGACATGGTGGTGCATGTCAGTAGTCCCAGCTATTTAAGAGGCTGAGGCGAGAGGATTGCTTGAGTCCAACAGTTCAAGGCTGCAATGAGCTATGATCATGCTACTACACATCAGCCTGGGCAATGGGGCAAGACACTGTCTCTAAAACAAAACAAAACCCCCCAAAACCCACCTACAATAATAAACACAAGATCAATAGGTTGGGCATGGTGGCTCATGCCTATAATCCCAGCACTTTGGGAAGCTGAGGTGGGCAGATCACCTGAGGTCGGGAGTTCTAGACCAGCCTGGTCAACAAGATGAAACCTCATCTCTACTAAAAATACAAAAAATTAGCCAGGCACAGTGGTGGGCACCAGTAATCCCAGCTACTTGGGAGGCTGAGACAGGAGAATCACTTGAAACCGGGAGGTAGAGGTTGCAGTAAGCCGAGATCACGCCACTGCACTCTAGCCTGGGCAACAAAAACAAAATGCCATCTCAAAAAAAAAAAAAAAAGATCAATATATAAGAATCAAATATATTTCTCTAGGGTAGCAATAAAACAGATTTCAAATATTCATAGGCAGAATCCAGAATCTGTACATTAGTATTTCACTCAAGGCCAGGTGTGGTGGCTCACGTCTATAATCCCAACTTTAGGAGGCTAGTGGGGGAGGACTGCTTCAGCCCAGGAATTTGAGACCACCCTGGGCAACATAGCAAGACTTTGTCTTCAAAAAAAATAAAAAATCTAGACAGGCATAGGAGTGTGTGCCTGTAGACCCAGCTACTCAGGAGGCTGAGACAGGACTGCTTAAGCCCAGTAGTCCCAGTTTGCAGTGAGTTATGATCATGCCACTATACTTTAGCCTGGGTGTCAGAGTAAGATCTTGTCTTCCCCCACCCCAGAACTCCATTCATCCAATTTATTTGGATGCCTATTACATACTACAACATACAAGGTGCCATTAGAGAATCTATACACACAACAGTGAGCAAAATAGTTTATGCTTCCATAAAGCTTATATTCTAGGGTAGTAATAAACCAAATCAACAAATACATAGTTTAAGGTTGTTGTATATAGTGGTATGCACATGTTTGTTTTCATTGTAGTATAGTATTCCATAGAATATACCATAATGTGGTTATTCATTTGTCTTTTGATGGCTATTCAAGTTGTTTTCAGTTTGGGACTATGGCAAATAATACTGCTGTGAAAAATTCTAGGACATTTATCCTGTTCCACTCACCAGGAGTGTATGCCTCGCCAAACTGCTGGGTCTTAAGGAACGCTTAGCATCAACTTTAATGGATAAACTAAACTGGCTTCCAAAGTAAATAGTCAATTTCCATTCTCACCATAAGGAATGAGACTTCTCTATGCTGCACATCTTTGCCAACATTTAATATTGTCAAATTTTTATTTTTTTATTTTTGTTTTTTGAGACAGATTCTCAGTCTGTCGCCCAAGCTGGAGTGCAGTGGTGCATTCTCAGCTCACTGCAACCTCTGCCTCCTGGGTTCAAGCAATTCTCTCTGCCTCAGCCTCCCGAGTAGCTGGGATTACAAGCACCCGCCATAACGACACCCAGCTAATTTTTGTATTTTTAGTAGAGACAGGGTTTCGTCATGTTGGCCAGGCTGGTCTCGAACTCCTGGCCTCAAGTGATTCACCCGCCTCAGCCTTCCAAAGTGCTGGGATTACCGCGTAAGCCACCAGGCCCGGCCTACAGCAGTTTTATCATGATGGCCAGGGACTGGAAAACGCCCAAATGCTCTTTAACAAGTAAAACCACAGTATGTCCACACCATAGAATACTACTCAGTAATAAAAAGGAACAAACTATTGATAGATGCAACAATCTGGATGATGCTTTGGAGACTTATGATGAATCTGAAATGCCAATCCAAAAAGATTACACACTGTATTATTTTGCTTATATAATATTCTAGAAATAACAAAATTATAGAAATGGAGAAAGATTAGTGGTTGTCAGGGGTTAAGAAGACGGTAAGGGTGTGAGAGAAGTGGGTGTGGATATAAAAGGGCATCAGGAGGAATTCTTGTGTTAATAGAAATGTTCCGTATCTTGACTTTATTTATTTACTTATTTATTTATTTTGAGACAGGGTCTCGTTCTTTCTCTCAGGCTGGAACGCAGTGGTGTGATCACAGCTCACTGTAGCTTCAACTTCCTAGGCACAAGTGATCCTCCCACCTCAGCTTCCTGAATAGCTGGGACTACAGGCATGTTCCATCATGCCTGGCTAATTTTTGTATTTTTGTAGACATAAGGTTTTGCCATGTTACCCAGGCTAGTCTTGAACTCCTGGGCTCAAGTGATCCTCTTGCCTTGGCCTCCCAAAGTTCTAGGATTATAGGCAAGAGCCACTGTGTCCAGCCATGTATTTTGACTTTATTAATGTCAATTTCCTAGTTTTGATATTTTACTAAATTTTGCAAAATTACTAAATTTTCCCATTGGGGAAAACTGGGTAAAAGGTATGAGGGATCGTTCTTTATTATTTCTTTTTTTTTTTTTTTTGAGACTGAGTCTTGCTCTGTTGCCCAGGCTAGAGTGCAGTGCCACGATCTTGCCTCACTGCAAACTTCACCTCCTGGGTTCAAGTGATTCTCCTGCCTCAGCCTCCTGAGTAGCTAGGATTACAGGTGCCCGCCACCACACCCGGCTAATTTTTGTATTTTTTAGTAGACACGGAGTTTCACCATCTCGGCCAGACTGGTCTCGAACTCCTGACCTCATGATCCACCCGCCTCAGGCTCCCAAAGTACTGGGATTATGGGCGTGAGCCACTGCGCCCAGCCTGTTCTTTATTATTTCTTACACTGGCATGTGAATCTACAATTACTTCAAAATAAAAAGTTTAATTTATAAAAAAGGTAAATTCTCACCTCATACCATAAAACAAAATAAATTTGAAAGGCATTGGCTGGTAGGAGTCCTTTGTCTTTTTCTTTTAAAGTTCACAATTAACCAATATTATTTTGAAATTTGAATCTTACTTATGTTAAAAAATGTAAGTAAGTGAAAATAATGTTACAACAGTATAGGAATAGACAGATCAGTGGAAAAGAGAACACTCTAACCTATATAAAAATTTAGTATGTGATAGTAGAATTATTTTTTCCTTTCATCCTTCCAATTGACTCTCCATTTCTTCTCTATTCGGGAGACTAACCTCTATGGACTGCAGCAACTGGAATTCTTACTTTCTAGTTATCAGCTGAATTTGGCCACTGGGAGCTACTGGAGGAAATCAGAAAGTGGCAGTCAGAGAATGTTTTACCTATGCTCTTTCCCTGCCGGGCCATAGCTTAGTGATAGTATTCCACTCCTGCAGGTCATATCTCCTGGTCAGGAGCTCTGTGCTTTACTAATCAATCTTGCTGTGTTCTGCTAAGTATTCCCTCTCCTTGTCTCTTCAGAGTTAGGAGTGGCAATCGTTTTCTGCTGTTGCTAGGTCTAAGATGCTTCACCAACCTTTGCTTGTTCCCCTTAACTTTGCCCACACCTTTGTAAATAGTCTCTTCATTAAACTTCTGACAGTTATCCTTAAGTGTGTCTTCTACTTCCTGCCAGGACCCTGATACCCTTGACAAGAGGCAAAATCTGGATTGCTAGAATGGATAGATGGGAGTGCCTTTTTAAAATAAATGTTTGGGTAATACAAAATCTCTTTTCAAAGCTGTGCAATAAAGAATACGGTCTTGCCCAAAGAGAGGTTTGACCTTTGTCCTGGCTCCTATGAAGTAACTTCTAAATCTTGGCATTTCCGTACCAATAGAACTGACTGTGTTATTTATCGTGGGCTCCTTGGGCCACACCTGCAGTTTATACTAATGATGGATTCCTTGAACCACATGGTGTCAGCTCAGCTTCCAGGGAGGAAAGGGTAGGAGTCTGGGTTCAATTACATGGGCAATAAATTAAATCATACCTACATAATAAAATCTCAATAAAAAATCTGAACACTGAAGGTTGGGTGAACTTCCAGGATTGGCAGCACTCCATGCATATTGTCATACATCAATTCCAGGAGGGTATGATGTCCTGAGGATCCAAGGGGAAGCTTCACAGTTGGAACCCTCCGAGATTCTGCCATATATCTCTCTTTCCTTGGCTAATTTTAACCTGTACCTTTGCCCTGTAATAAACTGTAATGGTGAGTATAATAGGTTTCAGGGAGTCCTGTCAGTCACTCTGGTGAATTACTGAACCTGAGGGTAGTTTTGGGAAACCTCTGAACTTGTGATTGGTGTGAGAAGTAAGGGTGGTCTTCTATGAGCTCTTCCCTCTAACCTTGTAGTCGGGCCCTAGCTCCTTGCAGTTGGGGTCAGAGGTCTTGGGCAGACTTAGTAGTCTGGAGGACTGCGCTCTTAACCTCATAGTTTGGCTAATTCCAGGCAAAAGTGCAAAAAAAGTAAGTAACAAAAAATATAAATTGAGATTAATTTTCCAAATTAATACATTTTTCCTGCATTTGTGTTTATATAATTTAAATTCTTTGACTTACCTGAGGGTCTACTAACCACCCATGGTACAAAGGAATATCAAGAAGATCAAATACTATGCATTCTGGTGTATATTCAAACACTCGAACACCGGTGAATCTTACATTTACATCCAGGCCTGTCTGTAGTTTGTGCAGAATTGCCATGGCATCACTCATATTCTGAAAATAGAAAAGGGGAAAGTTCTAATTCAGAAACATCAAAACACGAACAAAAAAGATATTCAAGTACAAGCACATTTACTTTTAATTTTCCATTTTATCCAATAAATTCAATTCAACATATTTTTATTATTGAGTATCTACTATGTGTCAGGCACTAATTGAAGTTTGAAAGATATAACAATGAATAAAACAGACACTGAGGTGGGCGGATCACTTGAGGCCAGGAGTTTGAGACCAGCCTGGCCCTCAGGGTGAAACCCTGTCACTAAAAATACAAAAATTAGCTGGGCATGGTGGCATGTGCCTGTAGTCCCAGCTACTTGGGAGGCTGAGGTGGGAGGATCACTTGAACCCAGGAGGTGGAGGTTGCAGTGAGCCGAGATTGCGCCACCGCATTCCAGCCTGGGCAACTGAGCGAGACTTAGTCTCAAAAAAACAAAACAAAGCAAGACAAAGTTCATGCTCTTATGCAACTAATATTCTATTGAGAGAGATAAACATGTATATATATAAAACAATGTCAAGTATTAGTAAGAAAAACTGAGCAAGAAGAGGTTGTAGAAAGTAGGAGAAATGAAGGACCTATGTTAGACCAGAAAGTCTAAAGTCAAATGTTTTTAAAGTCAAAGAGGAAGGCCTCTCCTACTGTTGAATCTAAAATAATTGAAAGTAGGATCTTGAAGAGATACTTGTACACCCATGCTCATTGCAACATTATTCGTAATTCTTTATCTATTCTTAGTTACAACTGACAAATGAATACAGAAAATGAGGTATATACATACAATGGAATATTATTCAGCCTTAAAAAAAGAAGGAAATCCTGTCATATGCTACAACCTGGATGAACCTTGAGGACATCTTGTTGAGTGAAATAAGCCAGTCACAAAAGTAAAAATACTGTATGATTCTACTTATATGAGATATTTAGAGTCATCAAAACCATAAAAACAGAAAGTAGAATGGTTGTTTCCAGGGGATTGGAGCAAGTGGGAAAGGGGAGTTGTTTGATGGATATAGGGTTTCACTTTGCTGCTCAGGCTAGAGTGCAGTGGTGTGATCATGGCTCACCACAGCCTCAAACTCCTGGGCTCAAGTGATCCTCCCGCCTCAGCCTCCCATGTAGCTGGGGCTACAGGTACATGCTACCATGCCCAGCTAATGTTTTTTATATTTTGTAGAGATGGGCTCTTACTATGTTACCCAGGCTGGTCTTGAATTTCTTAGCTCAAGTGATTCTCCACCTCATCCTCTCAAAGTACTGGGATTACAGACATAAGCCACCATGCCTGGCAAGTTTCAGTTTTAAAGATGAAAAAGTGGCCGGGTGTGGTGGCTCACACCTGTAATCCCAGCACTTTGAGAGGCTGAGGCGGGTGGATCACGAGGTCAGGAGATCGAGACCATCCTGGCTAACACGGTGAAACCCCATCTCTACTAAAAATACAAAAAATTAGCCGGGCATGGTAGGAGGCAACTGTAGTCCCAGCTACTTAGGAGGCTGAGGCAGGAGAATGGTGTGAACCTGGCAGGCGGAGCTTGCAGTGAGCCGAGATTGCGCCACTGCACCTCCAGCCTGGGCGACAGAGCAAGACTCCGCCTTAAAAAAAAAAAAAAAAAAAAAAAGATATATTTTATATTGTGTGGTTTCTAACACAATTAAATAAAACAGAAATGAGCTATCAAGCCATGAAAAGACACAGAGAAAACTTAAATGCATATTAGTAAAAAAACAAGCTAATGTGAAAAGGCTACATACTGTGTAATTCCAAATGACATTCTGGAAAAGGCAAGACTATAGAGACAGTAAAAAAGATTGGTGGTTGCCAAGGATTAAGGGAAGGGAGGAGTGAACAGGCAGAGTACAGAGAATTTTTAGGACAGTGAGGCTATTCTGTATGATACTGTAATGATTGATACGCATCATTATACATTTTTCAAAATCCATAGAATATACAAAACCAAGAAAGAGTAAATTATAGACTCTTGGTGATAATAATGTGTCATTGCAGGTTTATCAATAAATGAACCACTCTGGTGCAGGATGTTGATAGTGGGGGAAGCTGTGTGTGTGGGGTTAGGAGGAACAGTATAGAAATTCTCAGTACTTTCCATACTCAATTTTACAGTGAATGCACTGAAAAGGAAGGAAGGATGGAAGGGAGGGAGGGAGGGAGAGAGAGAGGAAAGGAGGGAGGGAGGGGAGTGGGGAATGTAAATGGGAGAGGAAAGAAGGAGAGGGAGGTGAGGGAGACAGGCCTCTTTCAAAATGACACTAGAATAGAGACCACAGTGAGCACTGAGTCTTAGGAAGCTCTGGGCAAAGAGCATTCCAGACAAAGCAGACACCAGTGCAAAAACAAGTTTATTACTGTGTCCGTGGAATAGCATGGGGCCCAGTGTGGCTGGGACAAAATAAAAGTGAAAAATTGTAGGAGATGAAGTCTAAGAGACAGGCAGAGGCTGGATCACAAAGACTTGTTTGTCAAATTAAGGAGTCATTCTGTCCACATCAGTTTTCTCAATAAATGTAGTCATATACATTTGGAATAAAGACTATTTTTAAATGCTTTTCTAAGCATGTTAACACATTAAATATGGACATATGTATAGAAAGTACACTTGAAAGAATAAAGAAAAACCGATACATAAAATTTAACACTTTTACTGAATCCTTACTGCTAATCAGACACTGTACAAGATACTAAAGACACAGAATATGAACAGTAGACTACAGTCTATAGAGGGGTTTGATAATAAAAAGGGTGAAAATGAAGGAAATCTTCTTATATTAAAACTAGGGATTCTCTTTCAAATTTGAAAAAGACAAATTTAGGTTACAAAAACGAAGTTCTGTTTTATGAAATAATTCATAAAATTCCATTCTAACAGACTGTACAGACTTTAAACAGGAATCATTCAAATGTTTTAAATTCAAGAATGATGCATTTATAATAGGATAACATTGTTATACTGCAGTCTTTTACCTTTGTCAGTTTCATCTCTTCCTACTGTGTATGTTTCCCCCAAACAATGTATTTTCTCTACCTTCCCAAAAATTGAACCCTTAAAAACAATCAGTTTACATTTTTTCCCCTAAGTGTTTTCGAACTTTTCTTAAATCTACAGCAATGATCAATCTGAAAAAATACTAACAATAGCAATCTAAGAATTACAGTTTTACAATCACCAGATTTTCCTCTATTTTTGTAAATTCTTGGTTGTCAACCACCCAACTTCCTTCAGGGGCAATATGATTTCTAATGGCTCTGGGTTCAGGCTTATTCCTTCATATATTTGCTACAATTATTCCCCCTTATTTAGTATTAAAACAACTGAGTTAACACCATTTGATATCTTCATAAAGATTACTAAAACTGATGAAAGAGGCCAGTCACAGTGGCTCATGCCTGTAATCCCAGCACTTTGGGAGGCTGAGGTGAGCAGATCACTTGAGCCCAGGAGTTTGAGGCTGCAGTGAGCCATGACAGCACCACAGCAATCCAGACCATGTGACAGAGTGACAGACCCCGCCTCAAAAAAAAAAAAGGCTGGCACGGTGGCTCACTCCTGCAATCCCAGGCAGGCAGATCACTTGAGGCCAGGAGTTCGAGACCAGTCAGGCCAACATGGTGAAATGCCATCTCTACTAAAAACAAAAAAATTAGTCAGGAGTGGTGGCACATGTCTGTAATCCCAGCTAATTGGGAGGCTGAGGCATGAGAATCCCTTGAACCTTAAAGGCAGAAGTTGTACTGAGCTGAGATCGTGCCACTGCACTCCAGCCTGTACAACAGAGGGAGACTGTCTTTGTTTTTTTGAGATGGAGTCTCGCTCTGTTGCCCAGGCTGGAGTGCAGTGGTGTGATCTTGGCTCACTGCAACCTCCACCTCCTGGGTTCAAGGGTTTCTTCTGTCTCAGCTTCTCAAGTAGCTGGGACCACAGGCGCATGCCACCACGCCCAGCTAACTTTTTGTATTTTTAGTAAAGATGAGGTTTCACTGTGTTAGCCAGGATGGTCTCAATCTCCAGACCTTGGGATCCCCCTGCCTCAGCCTCCCAAAGTGCTGGGATTACAGGCGTGTGCCACCGTGCCCGGCCGAGACTCTGTCTTAATAAAAAACAACAACTGATAAATTAAACAAACTTATTTTAAAAGGGTTTTAAACTCTTGGGTAAGTATTTTACCACTTTGTTCCTAATTCCAAATTATACTTAATATTATAAAATACAAATGTGAGCTATGGTTGCTTGCCTTACAAGAAGGGAGTACTACTGGAAACTTTAAGGCAGTGGTTAAACTGTTTCTTAGAACTCTTTTCAAAGGAACTTTTAACATGGTCAAATATTTTAAATTTATTTATTTATTTTTATTTTTTTAATTTTTTTGAGGCAGAGTTTCACTCTTGTTGCCAGGTTGGAGTGCAATGGCACGATCTCGGCTCACCGCAACCTCCGCCTCCTAGGTTCAAGCAATTCTCCTGCCTCAGCCTCCCTAGTAGCTGGGATTATAGGCATGTGCCACCAGACCCAGCTAATTTTGTATTTTTAGTAGAGACGGGGTTTCTCCATGTTGGTCAGGCTGGTCTCGAACTCCCGACCTCAGGTGATCCACCCGCCTCAGCCTCCCAAAGTGCTGGGATTACAGGCATGAGCCACTGCGCCCGGCCTAAATTTAAATACAAAATATATTTTAAGAATATATTTGCACTCATTAAAAATTTGTTATGAACACACACACATCATGTTTTCTTGTACTGTCAGTATATTATTAGACAAAACTGGAAAAAATAGGCTCTTTGCTTAAATTACAACTTCTGGTAAAGAGTTTTAATTGGGAATATTGCAGCTCTGTGTTGGTCTGTCTAAAATTAGATTTGAAGAGGTCTGCTCAAGTAAAATTATACAAAAAAGAACACTATTACTCACACGTGTGGAACATTACACATTAGCTCAGACTGAGCCCAGCCATATAAGCTTGACATACACTATTTTCAAAACTAACGGTAATGTAATTATAACACCTTAGGGTTTCAGTGTTTATTTTAAAAGCAGGGTACTTTTTGCCTGATACGTTTACGAGAAATGCAAGCAGTTGTTAGATATCCTTTGTTTCAACTTTGAGCCAATACTTCCAATCTCTCTTTAAGAATCCTGATCAGTGTAATGGCAATGTACTCTAAGACTGCAAGATGGACTTAAACCAAATGCTGATAACATTTGCAAGCATTTTTATTTTTCTTTCTTTCTTAATTTTTTGATATGCAGTCTTCCCATATCACACCCAGATTGGTCTTGAACTCTTAGGCTCAAGTAATCCTCCTCCCTTAGTCTCCTGAGTACCTGGAATTACAGCTGCGAACCACTGTGACTGGCTGCAAACAGTTTTCTTTTCTTTCCTTTTTTTTTTTTTTGTAACAGGGTCTCACTCTATTTGTCCAGGCTGGAATGTAGTGGTGTGATCTTGGCTCACAGCAACCTCTGCCTCCTGGGCTCAAGCGATCCTTTGACAGCCTCCCAAGTAGCTGGGACTATGGGTGTGTGCCACAATGCCCAGTCAGTGTTTTGTATTTTTTGTAGAGATAGGGTTTTGCCATGTTGCCCTGGTCTCACTCTTGGGCTCAAGCGATCCGCCTGCCTTGGCCTCCCAAAGTGCTGGGATTACAGGCATGAGCCACCATGCCTGGTGCCTGCAAACACGAAAATTAAGATTTTCTCATTTCAATCAAGATTTTCTCAGGATTAGGCAACGAAAGTAAGATGAATTTGGAGGTTGATATCAGACAGCAACTATCATCCACAGTCCCTAATTTTAACTTTTTAATCAAAATAGCTTCATGATTTCAGTAAGAAATGATATAAATTTCATACATACATGATATAAATTGAACCACTTTATACTTATCATGTACTGGTTTTATATACTGGAAGGTGGATAAGATTTCATTTGAAAAGAGGTTTCTATTGCTAAAAATGTTTAAATATCACTGTTTTAAGGTACAAATTCCCCTGATAAAATTTAAATGACTTAGAATACAAATTTGGCTTTAGCTGTAGATTTCCTTTCTTCTCCTTCTCTTTTTTTTTTTTTTTTT